TTTGGATTAGAGCTTCATACTTCCTGTTATGCTAAATTTTCTTTACCAAAGGTTAGCATTTATATTTTAAAGTGTCTTCAGTTGTGCACAATTTGAGTTTGTAAAAATGGGTGAAAATTTACAGAATTACGGCGGAAATTTGTTACACTGAGATTATAGACGAAAATTTTTCTGACATTGTACCTGTGAAAAAAACTGTTGGGATCAAGAAAAAAAAAACTTCATGATGCAAAATTCGGTATAACGGTGTTTCACTGAATCAGCGTATTGCTGAGGTTTTATACGGTTTCGAACAAGTAAAGATTTTCTAAATTTCTGCGATTTTATTAATTATATTCAATTAAAAATATATATATTTCTGTTTAAACAAAATTGTAAGACAGGGTCTCTTTGGGCAGGAAATTAATCTTGGGATTGAAAGTTTTGCAAATTATTTCGCTCCCACGAGAAGGAAACGTGCCCAGATTCAATTTCAATTTTTTATCCTGAAATGTCCAGCATATCTTTTTTCTTTGATGAATAGCTAAAAGTAGCATTGCGTAAGCTTCTTATCCTAATGATTTAACGCCCTATAACCCGATAAATCGATACATTATTTACATCCGATCGAAGAAAACAAAAGTTCCGGTTACTACTGCGCAATAACGAGCAATTCGGGGTCAGGGTGAAAAACAAAGGCCATCCATTTAAGACTCCGTTCAACATGATGAACGACTGAAAAAAATAAAAATAAAGCGATGAATAAAATTTGCATGCTAATTCACATGAGAGTAATGCGATGGAAATATACATACTGATGGTATGCGCAAATTTTTTTTTTTTTCAAGTCTGAGCTCGTCACCCGCAATGCGAAAATATTCGTGGCATCATTTTCATTGTTCACGCATCATCATTAAACAGTAATTTATTCCTCATCCTTTCCCCCCCCCCCCCCGTCATGGTTCAGTTCGCTGATTTTTTTCTCTCCTTTTTTTAAAAATTATTTGTACATGGTAAAGAATAGAGACGATTTAGTGGTGCGAAGCAGGTGAGACAAACAAACACACACACACACACACACATACACACACATACACACACGAAATAAAGAAATGAATGAATGAATGTGGCATTTATTTTTTTGTCTTGAATATTTGCGTCTGAAATTGGGTCGCACGTGTTGCGGCTTCGGGGAACATGTGTCTTATGTTGGCCTACGACGTGGAAGACGGAAAAAATTGCCGGGAATCCGTCATATTTAAAATATTCGTGTGGATTGCGTTATTTTATTTTTATTTTTTGTGGCATGAGACATTTTGAAGATAACGACAGGAGTTTTGAGTCGGGAAGTTGCAGTTATTTTTGAGCCATTATCTAACTCAAACAGCGTGAACTTTTTTTTTTTTCTAGTGACAGTTTAATTTGTGCCACATGCTGGAGAAGCTGTAAAAATCGATGCCAGGATGGGTTTAGTTTTAAATTTTATTATCCCATCGAGTTCTTGGAAATTGTAGGTTTCGTGTGGCTCCGATTTGCTTCAGTAGTTCTGCGTTATACAGTATGTTTTATTATTTTGTGAGTAAAACGAAATCCAATTTCTTTCTCCACGGATACTTTTTTTTAAAGTTGCTCTCATAAAAAACTTTTTTATTATTCATGTTTTTTAGCAAGGAATTACTGATTTATTGTGATTAAATATATATTTTTTAATGATTTAATCATATGCTTATCTAGAATTTTCGTATAAATTAGAAACAAAAAATTCACTGTTTCGATTCCTAGATTGACAAAGGACCCGAAATCCAATCTGACCCAGTCAATAAATCAAACCTAAATAATGAAAGTCAACTTCTAAAATAATACAGACTAAAAGGTAATTATATAGAACTTGTTTATTAAAAGGTCCTACTGAACGCTTGATTTCTTGTGGGTTCGATTGAATCAGTGCAGGCAATGTTGATGTTGTAAAATCTAATTTTTTTTGCAAACTCGATTCGGGTGGATTGTCGTGCAGTTTTTATTAGACTTTGGAAGTGCTTCAACATTATGTTTTTCTAAAGTATTCGCCGAAATTTTTGAAGTTTTTTTTTCTGACTTCTAAGTTTGGCTGGATTAGTACGGATTTTTTTTTACTTTGAGTTGAATATTTTATTCTTTCGTAATATTCCATTAATTTCTGTTGAGAACAAATATTTTTTCAAGAAAGACTTCGCGTGATTTTTTTTGGGAATGGAATCATTGCAAGCAATATTTTTTAAATTTAAAAATCCTCATTTTTTCGGAACTTGTGTTGATAATCTTATTGTCATTCAATTGTTCTGCTTTTTGAAGTGCATTAAGCGTATGCTATTCTGAAATTGTTACCTGAATTAAAAAAAAATGAAGATTTCGATTCCTTGATTGCGTTTGCTTGGCCTTGGGTTGGACTGTAGTTCAGGTGCATTACTTTCAGTTGAATATTTTATTCCTTCGCTAAGTATTACAATAATATTTGTTGAGAAGAAATATTTTTCCCACAAAGGCTTTGCTTGATATTTTCTAGGTTCTGTGTATTCAGTGCAAACAATGTTGTTAGTCTAAAATCTCAATTTTTTGCAAAATTGAGTTGATGGTCTTATTGTTGTGCAATGTTTTAACTTTTAAAGTTCTTTAATCCTTTCCTTTTTGAAAATTTTCAAAGTGTGGTAAAATTTTCTGTTTGAATCCTTGATTGTTAATGAGGACAAATGTCTGCAATATAACTTGATGTGGAGTGTTGATTAAAAGATAATGAAACGCGTTAATCAGTCTGGGACAGGACCAGGAATTCCTTTTAGGAATTCCTTGTTTAAAGGGAGAAGTGTATTTCACAAAGTATAACTGAATAAAATGACTAAACAAACTCAACTTGCAAGAATAACTTGAATAACTTGAGTAACACACTTAACTGATATATTGATTCTAATGATGATATGAAAAGGAGCAGCTTATATACTACTAATTATATTTAACCTTCAAAAGGTTTTACTTCTCAAACCAGAGTAAGAAAGATATGGTTGAGGATGCTGCAGTGCCTGGATGTTCCTGGCACTGCAATTTTGAGGAGGGGGGATTATTTTGTACTTCTAGGAATTGTTTAGAGTACTTTACTTTTCATGGCATGCATGCCCAACAATTGTGTTGGCTGGACTTCAGGTTAGGATTTTTTACTTTGAATTTTTTATTGAATATTTTATTTTTAATAAAATAGTTGAATGTTATATTTATTTTCCGGTTTTCTGCTTCCGGCAACGCTAATGGATTCAAATGTTCCAAGCGGAATCGCATTCCTTCTTTAATTAACTACATGCCTTTCATTTCGAAAAATAATAGTTGGTTTCAGCCTCATTTTTTAACTCTCTCTCTAAATCTCTCCCCAGTTCGTTAAACTTTTGATGCAAAAAAAATGTGAATGAAAAATAAAAACACGGGCCCATTTTGTTCGAGTTTGGAAAATACTGTAAAAAAGAGTCTTCGAATCGGATAATCTCGTGGCGTGAAACTGTCTTGTGTTTAAACACCCGAAACTCTTGATATTTATTCACGGAACGTTGGTTTTATGGTCAGCGCTCTGCTCAAGGTTTTTTTTAATACTATAATTTATTGCTTCGTTTTGTTTTTTGTTTCACGTGTTCCGCTTGGGAATGTCGAATCGGAATTTTTCCAGCTTCCACTCCCATGTCGTCATTGGATTGCACTCGAGAAAACGAACCGAAACGTCATCGATTCGTTTTTGGAATGTTTTTTTTTTTAAATATTTTTTATCTCACTTTGTAAGGGCTTCACGTACATATACCATAAATTCTCGCGTGGAAACACGTTTTGGGGATTCGAGAAAAAAGTTTGTGTCATTGGATTGTACTTGAGAAAACGATCCTAACCGTGTTCGGTTCGTTTTCATTTTATTATTTTTTTAATGTCACCGTGTAAGGGATATAAATTATACATTCCACAGACAAGTGTGACATATCCTTACAACAAACTCCTGTGGACTTCAGAAAGACTTTCGTCGAAAATGGATTTCACTTGAGAAAACGAACCGAAACGTCGTCGATTGGTTGTGCCTGTTTTTTTTCTTCTCTCAAGTATCACTTTGTACGGGGTTCGCATACAGTGAAATCTCGGTACGACAAACTCTTTGACGACTTAAAGAAAAAGTTTGATTTTGTATCGAGATATCTTTTTTTTTGCCTGTATATTTTATAGTGGAGAAAAGTATGATTAAATTATCTCTTGCAGTATGGTTTTTTTCGGCTGCAGAATTTCAAATTTCTGAGCGCAAAATTTTGTTGGCTTTTTATTTTAATTTTGCAGAACAGTTGGAATAGGACGAAGGAAATACAATTTTTTGCAAATAATAATTTTTTGCAATTGATGAAGAAATTCGAGATGAATTTGCATGCTTGCTTATGCAGTATTTCGATTTCATTGATTATTTCTTGAGATTCATCTGCAGTAAAATCTTGTTACAACAATATTTTGGGGACTCCAGAAAAAGTTTGATGTGCTGAATAACTTCATATGCAGTAAAGTGAAAAAATTTCAAAATTAATGACGGGAAAAAATTTTCACGGCTGGCCTGCCTATAATCAATTAAATCTTGTTTTTCTGACATTTTCAAAAATGTATTATTTTTTGAAAAACAGTGATTAAAAAAAATGATATCTTCAATCATGAATTCCAAAAGTTGCATCAATCTCTTTATATTAGGAGATGTGATGATGTGTGGAACCATTTGGAAGCATGTTTGTCATGGATCACAGCTTTCATTCTTGCTACAAAATCAGTGTTACTTTTGGGATCGGAAATTTCTACCTGGAAAATCTATCGAACATTCCTAGAAAAAAAACTATTCATGCTGCAATTTATTTCATCAAGATTGTTTCGACATGTTCTCCTTGGGCTTTCTCTTGGGACTTGGAAAAGTTTGTTTTATTAAAAAAAATTGTTTATTGTATCACCAGACATTGTTTTCTAAAAATTTGAATCCCCCGTTGCCTTTCCACAAGCTCTTTTTAGCGCTGGGCAACACGAAGAAAAAAAGGTGCAACGGAAAGTTACAAACGGAGCTAAGCTTCGTCCTCAGGTAGCTTCTGCTTCTTTAGGTGGTTTAGTAAGTTCAAGTGCTCGTCTAAAAAGGAGAAGAAAGAAAAGGACAAAGACAAGGACGAGAAGAAGCTGAAGGACAAGGACCGAGAGAAGGAGAAGGCAAAGGACAAGGAGAAAGAAAAGGAGAAGACCAAAGAAAAGGAGAAGGAGAAAGAGAAGGAGAAGCGGAAGGAAGAAGATGCTCACGGCAAAGACCGAGACACGGACGATTCTGCCAAAGAGAAGAAGAAGAAGGAGAAGAATGATGGGAAGGCCAAGATCAAGTTGGCAATCAAGGACAAGAAGGGAAAAGTAACCAAGCATGACGTCGAGGAGCCCACTGAATACGGTTAGTATTCTATTTAAAAAAAAAAACCTGGTTTTTTAATTGTGCCCGTAAATATTATGAAAATTGTTTTCTTTTTTCTTATTTTATGCGTCGTAAAACGCCCGTACCGAATCCTGGACTTCTATGGTTATGTCTCAGTAGTAATGTCAAACGATTCGAACGGAATGGCACGAGTTTGAATGAGAGCAATGACCGGAATGGAATTCTTCTGATCATTGAACCTTCAATTTCCTGTTGAAATTCTTCCCCCCTCGGTTTCGATTCACTTTTGACGTCCGACCTTGATTTGGAAAATTTCAATTAGATGCCGCTTGAATCGCCAACCTGGCACGAAAGAAAGCCTAATGAAATGTCCAGTCCAGCCCAACAAATGCTTCTTTGAAAACCAGGCGACATCTATGTCGTGGCGAATAAAATAGTAGTCTCCGACATCTAGAGTGAAAAGAAGCTCAGTGTTTTACTTAGGTCTGTTCTCTGAAATTTCGGTCAGATGCCACTTGAATCGCGAACCTAGGAAAAAATTGCATAAATTTTGCCTGAATCAGCTTCCGTAACATGTAATTACAACGAATCTCGTTAAAAATGTTTCTTTGTCTCAGCACTGTAGCTTCTTCATAGACGTTAATTCATAAAAATCTTGTTTTGATAAACTCATTCCAGGCAGTTATCTCAGTATAACGAATTTTCGGTCCTGATTCTGTGCATAGGACATATACGAACATGGAGATTACAGTAATTCATAAATGTTGGTGAAATGGAGAAAGTTGAACTGGTGCAGCATTCAAATGTCTCTGAAGAAGCAAAACTTTCTTTAGAGAAAATTTAATGTTAAAAAGAACGCACAATGTGACATTTTTTTGGGAGTTCTTTAGCTCAATTTGGTGTATGCCTTTCTTTCAGATAAATTGTTGTTGGTTGGAAAGCATTCTCCACCATTTCAAAGGACTTTTCATTTATTTCAAACAAGTTTGAATTTCAAGTTTGAATTTCTTGAATAATGTTTCATTCTATTTTTCAAGAAAAATAGCGCATTAGTGGAAGACAGGTCCAATAAAAGAGAAGTACAGTACAATACGATTTATTCAAAAATTTCTCTTCACTTCATTAGAGAGGGAGAGATACAATTAGACAGATTTTGAATTTTTTGTTGTAGATGCAATTCGCAGTATTTTTTAATCCATTTCTCACAAAATTTCAGTCTGAAATGTCTAGAAATCATGACTCTCAGTGAAACATTTTTGTTATTACACATTTTTCAACAGATGCCTGAGAAATTTTAAACCAGATTTTTCTGTAGTTTGCATTGTGTTAGATTTTGTATTACCTTAGTTACGGTAAGTGTGGTTTACTCTTTGTAAAAGTTGTCTATTCGGAGAAAAGGGTTGAAGTAAAACGAAAAGTGATCTGAATTTAATAATGATTGAAACAGTTTTAGGGCAGGGTGTGCACAATGAAAAAGTACGATGCGGTACGTTTGTTTTGGTAAAATGCTGATCTTGGTGAAATGGTCAAGTAATATGATTTTTGACTGTTTCTCTGTCGTCCTTTTTTGCAGAACAACCTATTTTTGGAGTGCCATTGCATTTGGCCGTGGAACGTCATCGTTGCCATGACGGTGTTGAATTACCTGGTGTTGTTCGGGAATGTCTGGACTACATAGAAGAGCACGGTAAAGTCGTACAGTTGTGAATTTCAAGAACTTTGAAGATTTCTTTGTTTTTAATCTAAAAATGTTGATCCTGTTGATTAATACTTTTTTCAAGTAGCTTTGATGTGATGCTAGAAGTGTGCGCTAATTATTATTATAGTTATTATTAAAATCTAACCTTTCGAAGTCGAATTTCATGAGACCAGAAAATAGTTTCGAATTAGGGAAAAATCATTTGTGATGGGGCTGGAGGGAGAAAAAAGGATTTCAGGAAATTGTAGTTGGTGTTATTGTGGGCCTTGAATTGCATCGTGGATGAGTTGACAGGATGCTGAACTCGGATGCAATGGTTCATTTGCTTGATTAGTCTTCACTTCCTTTCGAAACACATCGCTGCTTTTTTATTGCTTTTCTCTTTCCTGTGTCAAGAAAATAATAGACCTCAGAAAATTCGAGTCGAGGAGGTTTGAAGGGAAACGTTTTTGAGAGAGGTTTTTAACGCATGTTTTCTGAAAGAATTCAGACAGTGGCTTTCAAAAAAAAGTTCGACTTGAGGAGGTATTAGATTTATCGAGGTTCAACTGATCTGTATTTGAAATTTTGCAATGTGCAGGGATTGGAGCTGAAGGCATCTACCGAGTTTCTGGCTTCAAGTCGAAGGTCCAACAGCTACGAGCATCATATAATCGAAGAGAGCCGATATCTCTGAGAGACCACGATCCACACACTGTCGCCTCATTGTTGAAGCAGTTTCTTCGGTAATTATCGAACGATGCAGTTCAATTGTTCGAATTCGTTTCAAAAACCGCGATTTTCGTTAAATTTCCACATTCGAGGTATACAACTCTCTTTAAATGTTTTCTGTCGTACAGTATTTGTCATGTTGAAGCTGGGCATCCTCATTCAGAAATATTCAAGATATAACAAATCTTCGCGCGTCAGTGATGCTGTTCTATTTTTTTTTTTTGAATAAGTGGAAGTTTACTTAAGAAGCAACATTGTGCATAAACTTGTTTAAAAAAAAAGTTATTTTTCTCATTGAAGCCAGATGTCCCCAGTTGCCTGGATGTTTTCTGAAGTATCATACAGTAAAATTTCCAAGTGATTTTTTGTTGAGAGAATTTCATTTTAGAGAACTTCTAAAGCATGGGTAGAGACCCTTATATGGTGCCAGAAACAAATTTGTTCTACAAAGAAAATTGTTGTAGACAAAAGTTTTGTAGGGAGAGTCTAACAGTAAAGTATTTGGGTTTGATGAGTGATCGAGGTGAAATCTGTTCAGAAATTTGAAAAGTGAAGCCTGAGCATTGAATCGAAAACCCCAGAAAGTGACGCCATTTCATCTCGGATTGACTAGTTTTTGCTCATTTTTTTCTTACCGGAGAAATAGGAAACATGAATGTTAAACTACTGGTTTCATCGATGAAATTTATTTGTTTGATGCTGTACAACTTTAGTTATTGACAAACTTTTCAAATAAAAATTTTTGGTGGCAGTTAATGCGATTACAAACAGTTTCTTGCGTAATCGATCATCATTGGTCATGCACCGCATTTCAACAGCGAATAAATCAATTAAGGGGTAAATCCCATCATTTTTCTTGAAGATTACTAATATTTTCTCCAGATTTATGAATCTGTCTTTTATTTTCCTCTCTTCAAATTGAAAATCGCCGCGATTTCATCAAATAACTTGGGCAATATTTAAAGATCAGGTGTCTTGAATAATTATAGAAAATGTTTGTTCTTGAGGAGTTTTCCGTTCGGTACTGTTTTCTTTTTCTCTTGCGAGAACGTGTGTGAATTGTTGCCAAAGTCAAGTTGAAGATTTATAGTCATTTTCTCTTGTGAAGTTTTCCTTTCTTGAACTGCTCAGTACTGTATACTTACACTTTTGCCCCAAGAGTTGATAATTCCACAGTCGAGTAGCGGTTTAACGAACCAAGTGAAGAATTATTCGTCGTTAGTCCCGCTCATCGCATCAATGTGGGAAAAATCCACGTATCAAGTACAAGAGAAAAAGCTCTAAAATTTAAATTGTTGAACCGTTCTGGGCTTGTCTTTTTTTTACAGGGAACTCCCGGAATCCTTGTTCACAACGGAACTTTGCCCATCCTTCGAAGAGGCCTCAGGGATAAAGGATGAGCCTGAACGAATGGTGGCGCTCAAAAACCTGATTGAGCAACTCCCCACGTCCAAAAGACTTCTTTTGTCCTGGATGTTTGTGCATTTTTCCCACGTTTTGGATAATGTGAGTAATTCCTAGGCCCCGTGTAAAATACCGTCATCAAGAAACCCATCACACACATTTTTGTAGTGTAACAAACTCTTCATCAAGAAATGAGGCAGAAAGCTAATACACAACATGTTAAAACGATCTTGGTACTGTATAGCAAACTTTTCAATTCTAGTTTAAGAAACTTTTTTTTTGAGGAATGTTCAGTAGAAGATTCTCCAGTTGTAAATTTCCCGATTAAGGTAGACACAGTCTGAAATTTCTGATCTTCAATGCGACTGACTGATGGTTCTTTTAGCATCAATGGAAGCTGTAATCAATGACAAACATGCTTGCAATTGGTTCCACACATCAAATGAGATTGGTTCAATTGATGGAATGCATGATTGAAGCTAAGATTTTTTAAAGAAGATCACTCCTATTTTTGGAACAATAGTGAAAATCTCTGATTACCAGAAAAGGGAGATCTAATTGATTATGGGTAGGTCTGAAGTGAAATTTTTTAAAGTCATCAATTTAGAAAATGTCGTTTTAACGAATTATTCAGCATAGCAAACCAAATTGATCTTCAGTGACATTAAATGTGTACTGTGAGCGACATCTACCTTCGCTGGAATACTGTGTCATTTTCACGGAGTATGTTTTTTTGTTGTTGCAGAAATATTAAATTTCTGCCTGTTAAGCAACTTGTGGATATTCGTGAAACGGTTTCTATTGAATGAAGGATTCCGGAAGCTTATTGGGTTACTATTGGCTCAATTCTGTATATATGCTACGTTTTTCATGTATTGCGGATCATTATCTTTTTCGAAAGATACTGCAAGAATTTTTTTGAAGAACTCATTTTAAAACGAGTTGATGTTTGTGATGACCCATAAAAATCAATGGATTTTGAACTTTCGATTTACGCTTCTTTTTTCGAGTAGAGAAAAGTAGTCGATGCCAACCTTCGATTTGAACTTCCAGGAATAAAAAAATAATACTAATGAACCCGCGCTTGGAAGGTCAAAGTTATTATCTATATCAAAGTTATAGATATAGATATCAAAGTCAAAGTTATTATCCCAGGTCTGCATTTTTATTTGATAAAAAAAATAAAAATTGCACAAAATTGTAATACAGTAAAATCTCATTACAACAAACTCCTGGGGACCTGTTAAAAAATTTGTTATAATGAAAAATTTGTTGTACAGTATTAAGATTCTTGGTTTTGAACACATTTTAGACTAACATTTTGTGTGAAATGGGCATTATTTGCCTTAAATTGCGTCGGAAAAAAATCATTCAAAACTTATTTTAATTAGTGAGGGCATTGTTGATGAAGGGAGAACTTTTAAATAAATAGTTATTTTCTTTCCTTAATCATTTAAACCAGCCTTTGAATACAGAAATGTTGCTTTTCTTGAAAAATAAAATTAAGCAAAATTAAATGTGGTAGAAATCCTGCACTTTCCTCTGAGTAATGCACACATCCACTCATACCATTCTGTCTGCTCTTTGAAATAAAGGCAATTTTTTAATGTATTATTCATTTCAAAGAAAGGCATACTTTCTAAAAGGGAGCTGAAGAATTTCTGAGAAATATTTGTTTATGTGCATTTTTGGAACACCAATAAGTTTTCTCTGCAGAATTTTTAAAAGTGAATTTTGCATGCTGTATGTTTGAAATATTTCCAAGTTTTCTGCCATTTATTAAGAATTTGTATGATCCCTATATTGCCTATGAACAGAATCATGGCCAAAAATTTGTTACAATGAGATTATAGCCTTAATTGAGTTTGTTGGAATGAGATTTTTATAACAAGATTTTTATAACATTGTGCCTATTGGAAACTGCCAGGACCAAGAGAAAAATTTGTTGTAATGAAAAGTTCGTTATAACAAGATCCGTTGTAATGAGATGTTAATGTAGTGATATTTTAGGCATTAAATTGCTTCTTAAATGAGTACAGGATGCTGAACTTTCATTTGCCCAATTTGTCTTCCACATGTCAAGCAAATTTTTGTATTGCTTTTTTATTTCCTGTGTCAATAAAATAATAGCTGAAAGGCTTCCAGAAAATTCGAGCATTTGAGGGTTGAGACGTGGGATTTTCGATTCGGGGAAGTTTTTAACGTATATTGTTTCCAAAGTATTCCCAGAAGGAGTTGATAAAATTTGACTGAGGAGGTTCTGGTTGTCGAGGCTCAATTTTATTCACATGTGCTGTAGTCCAGTACTGTACGATGTAGTTTACTGTACTTTTTTTTTTCTTCGCGCGGAATGGAGGTGAAGATTGAATGCGTCGGAAGTTCCTTTCCACTAATTCGCCCAATTCTTTTTCGTTGTTGCTGTGTTCCTGCAGGAGGCAGTGAACAAAATGAACATCCAAGGCCTTGGGATTGTAATGAGTCCGTGCCTGAACGTTTCTCACCGTCTACTCAACGCAATGTTTGTCCACACGAAAGATCTGTTCCCAGAAGTGACCATCAAGAGGTGAGCTTTCAAAAAAAAATAAATAAAATATCGAACCGCAATTCAATTTATTCGATGATTGACTTTACTTTTTCGTCTCTCGCCTGGTGTTCGGAAACATGGAAAAGGAACGCGAATTCTTTTATTTTTTCTGTTCCTGAAACAAAAAGAATGACGCTGGTGTTGTACTGTTGTAACCCAAATCTTGCGAGAGTCGGTTTCCGTTCGTTACACTTATCGCGACTTTCCATCTTTTTCCATTGTTGCGCCTGAGAGCGTTGAATTTTTCATGCATTACGGACAGACATTCGCACTGTCTTCAAATCCTCAGAAAGTGTAGCTGACATTTTTCTCCGTGTGTTCATTTCTTTTTCGAGCGTTGAAACTGGCTTAAATTTAACGTATGTGTAAAACGCGAGCTGCCAAAAAAATCAGCTTTTAGTCCCTTCGAATTTTAGAAAAATCCGCGATTTTAGAGGAATTGAAGTGCTTGTCACAAAGAAAGGGCTTAAAACCTCGTTGAATCCTTCAGAAGAGATTGTGAAGTGACTCTGTAACGTGTTTAGCTTGAACATAACAGGAGAAAGTTTCGTGAGGATTTCCATATTTAATTTATAAATTTCTAATCGAGCGTTTTCGAAAAAAACTACTAAAATCGTCCTCGTTTAAATTTAAAGGAAATAATTGAATACATTTTTAAAGTGATCAAAGCCACAACGTCAGTCAAAGCGTGTTTTTTGAAGATCTTTGTGGCCGACGGAAATCTGTGCAAAAATAGTATTATTGCCTCAGCGTCTCATAGCTATACAAGTCTATTTCATGAAATCTCGTTACAGCAAAACCTTCGGCACCAAGAAAAAAACTTTCGTTATAACTAAAAATCCTTTGTGAATATATTCAAATAAAATTTTGGCAATTGGGCTGGAGCCTGAAGGGAATTTGTTTGAGCATTACTGCGTTATAACGTGATTTGTTGTAAAAAGCGTTTTACGCAATTTTTATATGCTTGGTCACGTGATGAAAAATTGTGGAGAATTTAACCAGGGTATACTGGCCGATTTTTCTGTAAAACCACATTAATTCGGTGGCTAAGTTATACTTTTGGGAAAAAATAATGCTGATGTATACAGTGATATTATACGTTACACCAAATATCTTTTTTAACGAAGTTATCGTTCAGAACGCATTCGTTTTTTAGGTTCTCCGTATAGTGTTGTTAAAGGCTCGGGTAAACGATTTTGTTGTTGTTGTGCAGTTATTATGTTTGGACGATGGTTTTTTTCCATGTCCCAGGGGCTTCATTGTAGCGAGATTTTACTGTAGACTGGATTGTATTTTTAACCTACTTCAATTTACCGTAATATCGCAAAATTCATTTTAAAATACTCAGATTCTGGTGATATTCGATGGCGTCTTGCATTTGAACAGTTTGCCAATTTAAAACACAATTTTTCTTGCCCTCAAGAATGTTTTGATGAAAATTGATCTGATGTCAAGCGACTCAAGTATAAAATTCAGTGATTTTATCGTCTGTTCAAAGGTCCTGGAGTTGAAATTTGTTTCATTTTGGAAGTCTGATCGGAGTTCAAATGAAGGGAAATTATAGTCCAGAGAAACTTTTTTTGTGAATGAATTTAATGGAAGTGTGACTTGGAGTATTGGCTATTTTCCTTTGTGAGGCAGAACGAAAAATTAAAGATGTGCTTTTCACGGTCGAAATCCGTCTGAATATCGGTAATTTAGGTGCGATGGTGTTCGTTCCGTCGTAGGTCATCTGATTCCTTGAGGCGACACCTGCCTGAGATCTCATAAAGCAAGGAAATTGAGTGTTTTGAAAGTGCTGTACCACACGCCTTGGATTCTCGAGTTCTTCATTTTTGAGTCAGGACGAAAAATAAGAGATGTGTTTTTATGGTCGAAATCCGTTTGAATGTCAGTACTTCGAGTGGGGTTAGTTAGTACCGTTAGGTCCAATGATCGAGGCGACACCTACCGAAACTCTCGTAAAGCAAGGCCAGGCGGTCGGAACTAGATGGAGCCCCTTTCAGTCTAACTAAAGAGATCGAGGACGGAATCCCAAGCAGTTCGCTTCCAGCAGTGTCACGCTCCTGTTTAGCATACCTTTTCCCTCCTCTGACTCGAATTTGCATCCGCCCATACCTTTCTCCTTCAATTGGGCGTACAGTATGTATATGTGTTCGTGTCTTGTCTTCCAGGTACGTGCCGCCGATCAAACCGGGCTCTGCTCGACTGTCCCTCGACGTGTCGGAGAGTTGCGAAAGCATCGAGGAGGAGATCAAGAAGCAGGAGAGCCTCTTGAATCAGTTGCACGCGGAACTCAACGCCGGCCGCGTAAATCGTCGCAAGGAGGAGCAGTTGTGGGAAGTCCAGCGAGTCGTCACGCAACTCAAGGTGCTTTTGCCGGCAGAAAAAAAAAGCCAAAGAAAGACGAATCGTGTTTTGCTTCTCACTCTTTTTTTCTCTCTGTCGCTTTTTTTTTGCGCACAATTTAAAAGTCAACAGATTAAACTTGCCCCGTAAATCATCCAGTACTTGCTAACTATGCCTAAATATTGTGCAGGTGACCCTCGTTAACTTGAACCTCCATATTTCAGATTTTTTTTTTTCTCGAGTCCCGGTCGGAATTCTTTTAGAAACAGTGGACTAAAAAACTCCTGCGCTGCTCGAGATTCATGCGATTGATTATATGAATGGTGCTGAATTTAAAAATATTGTGTCCTCCCTTTTTTGGTCGTCACAACGTCTCGCTGCGACGCTGATGCGATGTGTAGATTTTGTTTTTCCACACGGAGATGGATTTTTAAGATTGTAATGGAATATTGTGGCTTCGACTCGACGGGGCTGGAATGAGGTTTTCCCAGTGTACAGTATTTTGGACATGAGCTGGATGTGTTGGTGTTTTTGTTGTTGTTCGGAATCGCAGAGGAAGCTGAGACTGGCGAAGCAACGTGGAGGAGGAGGAGGAGAAGAGTCTGTTGTTGGCAACCGTGCGGAAGGCAACGTTGTGTCTGCAATTGAAGTGCCACTGGTCAAGGATCAAGCGGAGGACGAATTCAGCATGGATTTGAGTTTGCAAGACGCTCCTGGTGCAAATCAAGTTTGTTCATTTTATTTTATTATTTATTGTTTTCGATTTTATTTTTATTTTTTGTTGTCTACAGCAGTGTTCCCCAACCTTATTGGGCCCCTGGACCAGCAAATTTCCATAAAAATTTTTTTGGACTGGTAAAGTTGCAAACATTTTTGCAGAATCAAAAAAGCTTTGTTTGAAATACTTTTTGGCAGGTATTATAACAAGTTTCTGCTTTTTTTTTCAAAATTTAAGCCAAGAACCAAGGAAGCAGCTCTAGTGAAATGTCTTGGAAAATTAGCAAGGTGTGCTTGAAGAAAGGTTTTTCACAATGAAAAAAAATATGTACATCATCAGCTGGTGAAAATTTGTCTGAAGTGTTATTAGGAGAAAAGCAAACTTTTATTTTCCACCAGATGATTTCAGCTGCCATTGTCTTTCAGAAATTTCAGATGAAGATAACAGTCTGCATTGCTACTTTTGATACATTTATTATGCTGAAGAAAATTTCCTGCAGACTGGTAAAAAAGAATACTCCTGTGGACCACATGTCGGGGAACACTGGTCTACAGTATTTTTCAATGTGAAAACAAGCCCTAAATTTCCGTGGTTTTTGTTTCATATATATTTTTTATAATCCTGTGCTTGGATTGAACAGAATTTCCAAAAAATTTTTCTTCATCAATTGCTGTCAATTTGTTCTTTTCTGACGTGGAAATTCGGATTCGAAATTGAGAGCCTGCTGAGGAAATTATTTTTAATGACCCAGTTTTTTATGCAGGGTCCCATTTCAAGTGAGTACCCGAACTATAACCAAACTATGTATAGTGAGTTCCATCAGGATGAGATGTGTCATGCAAAACATGATTTTCTTGGGGCTTAAAAATACAGATGTACTTTCTCTACGCCGGCATTCCAAAGAGCAAGAAGAAAAAATTGTTGAAGAGAGAGTTTTGTTTTTTTGAATCTCGAAAACATGAGTAGGGAACCCTACAGTACCAAACACAAATTCGTTGAACTGAGAAAATCGAGTATTTAATTTGATACAGGCACATACAGTGTTACAGAAATCCTCTGGAAGACCGCAGAAACTTGTTTTTTTCAGTTCTAAAGTTATTTGAATGAAGTTTTAAATATAAAATTTATTGATATAAAATTGAATTCATGTGAATAAAGTTCGGAACTTTCTGAAATTTACGAATCTTTAGCGTTCATTAAAATTATAATTCCGTAGTTTTTTCCCTCAGTTATAATCTTTGTTGCGATTTGAACATAAATTCAGAATACTGTCCTCGAAATTTACTGAAATTCGTTCATTTTTTGTCCAGATCAGTTTCTTTTTTTTTTTAAGCAAATTTTGTCCTACAGGTTGATCCTCTCTCTTCAACAACGATTTTCTCTGGAAAATGAATTTTGTTTTTGTCCCATTGGGGTCTCTCCCCATGTTTTAGGTGATCTCTACAGCGAAATTTTCTGCATAGCAATTTTTTATGGTTCCTTGAATTTAGTTGTAGAGAGAGTCCACCTGTATTCAGTAGTTTGAATGTTAATTGATGAGCAGAGATTTCTACTAGCTGATGTATAGTGAGATTAAAGAGAATTTCTTTTCACTCTTATGACTGAAGTATGGTAGCTTTTTTGTATGTCTTATAGGTGTTACTGGAATCAAAAGCCTTCCTGCAGAATCTTAATATTTTCTGGCCAAATGTAACCTAACGTAATTTAACGTTACAAATTCCAACCGGACATATACGAAGAAAAATTAGAGTTGAGGCGACATCTGTGCAATGCAAAAATAAAATCACATGTTCGGGACATACAGTGAAACAGTGAAACGTCGGATAGAATGTCGAAAAAATTTCCCAAAGACTCTATTGGTACGAATGATTTTTCGACCAGACGCTTTATTTAGACTGTCTTGGTTTTCATGAAGTGTTTCGATTGTTGAAGTTTCCATTTTTTTAGAAATATTTTTTAAAAATTCAGTTGTCAGTTTTATCTAAAAATCTTCAATTCATTTCAATTCCAGGTGGTCGCTGAGCAGGTGAAAGTGGCTGCCACCAGCAGTTCTCGGGAATCGACGAAATCCTCAGGCTCTGTGTCTTCCTTGTCAAGCTTGCCTGCGTCTGCGGACAAGGACGAACCAGATGCAGTTGCCCTGCTGTCACCTGAGCATTTGCCCGAATCTGACCTGAGTGACGCTTCCAGTGCGGAAGATGACGAAGGTCAGTCGATGAGAAAGCACCATATTCGGTGGAATTCAATTTTTGTGTGGTGTGAGGCGTGGCCGGAAATTCCGAAATTCTTTTACCCGTAGTTCCTCGATTACACCACGCAAACTCTTTTTTTCTCTCTCTCTCAAAATCGAAAGGTGTAGTGTAGGGTAACCTCTTAAAGGTTCCGTCCAAGACCAATGAAGGTCAATTATTCTGGTTAACCTCATGACCTTCTGGGATGAGATGCAGTTAGCTTACTCTGAACCAAAAGAGAGCATAATAAACCAATAATCTGTATACAGTATCTATTAAGGATAAAAAAAGGGATGCAAGTCATAGGCAGGTAAAATAACATTTTTTTTTTTCAAGTTTTATGTTTGCATTGAATGTGAATCTAATGCAAAATTTTGAACCAATTTTATAAAAAAAATTATTTGATGGAAACAATTGTCTGAATCCAAATTCTGGTGATTCAATTTTTGAAATATTGTAGTTTCAGAGTCATTAAAAATGGGATGAGCATCTTGTTACTTGATGATATGATTCAATAAAAATTGTAGACTGCAAAACCTTGCAACGTGTCGTACTTGTGTGTGCATGGTACTTGAGTGAATACGGGTACTGTACGTTAATTTTTTAAAGGACAGGTGTGAGTCTTGAAACTGTGAGTTCCAAAACAGAGTGTGTGAAGAATTGAAAAATTTTGAAATCTATGTGTTGAACATATTTCTCAGAGAGCAAGTTTCAAACAGAACTTAAGAAGTAATTGTTTCTCTACTTCCAATAATGATGCAGTTTGGTTTGTTACTTTTTATTTTTTTTTAAGAATTTTTTGTGCATTATCGGACGGGTGTCTGATTTCTGTGGGTATCTGGAAGTGATTTTTCCAATAAGAGAATGATTTTTTTTTTCTGTTCAGAAATTTTGAAAATTTCCTTCCGATTTTCCAGCGTTTTTATATTGTCAATTCCGGAAATTTCATCATTTCACAGTTGCTAATTTTCCTCACCTTATTTTTAGCGCTTTTTTCAAAATGAAAACTCTGAATCTGTGATACCACTTGAAAAATTGCAAAAAATTTCGATGGGCTATTCTCCAGTGCTGTTGTTCGCGGATTTTGTTTGCCACTGGCACTGTATCTGTTTTTATCGCGTAGATTACGTAGAATTGGACATTGGCTTTTTTTGTGGCACGAACTGTTGAAGTGTTCACTCAATTTTTTCAGCAGCTTGATAGTGCACTGAATCAAAATTGAAAAAAGGAGTTTGTGCAAATTCAAGACGCTTTTTAATTGAATTCAAATTTTTTTTTAATGAGAATAAGAGTGTGTTGATTCGGATCGGACTTTTCAGATGATTTTAATCTCCTCTGAAACTTTGAAAAGCAATCAGTAAAATTTTTATTTTCAAAAGGTTGTGATGGTCAGAGGTAAATTTGAAAATTACCTGCGAATTCAACGCGAAATTGAAGTTTAAAAAACGTTTACTCTTTATTTCTTGAACGAATCTTTGCGAACAAAATGAGTCTCGAATTCCCGTTTAAACCGTAGTTGAATTTTCTCCTCGTGAATTTTCGTATGAGTCTGGACTTTATTTATTTATTCATAAACTTTGTCGGCTTCTGATTCGGTGAATTCGAAGAAGTCGTGTGAATAATTTGCGCATGTGCGAACGGAAAAACGTGGAAAAATTAATAATCGGTCGTCGTGATGCGATCCTGATGGAAAATAATGTGCCATGATGGAAATATCGAAGCATTTTTTGCGATCGTTTGAAATTCAATGGTCAATTTGAGACTGTTGAGTGTTGCGTTGACTGCTGATTAGCTGGAAAAAAATTCGTGGAAATCTTCTTGAAGTCAAGGCACTTCTAAAACCAGAAACTTTAGAGCCTCGGCTCAGCTAAACTTGTACCCACCCCAGACTTTATCAACGTTAATGCTATGAAAGTTTTACTAACTTAGATAAAGTTTTAAACAAAACCGTTTAATGTCATCGTATAGGCAAAATGGAAAATGTCCCACCTGAAGAGGCCTTGAAGTTTTTTTCTGTCAAGGTAAGTTTTCTTAACAACTTAGGGAACTTAAACATATAATATGTTGACGAAAAGTTAGATAATTTCATCACATATAACATGTCAGTTTGGAGAGAATTCAGTTTAAAGTTCCCTGGTCGTTTTTTTTTATTTGACTTAGAGGGGTTTTGAATAATAGATGTTTGAGCTACAATGAAAAGTTCTTTTTTCTGGGAAACTTAGAAAATTGCCCAAAATTGTAAATGTTGATATTCTGGGGTTTAAATGGCTTCTGAAATGGGCTGAAAGGATGCTGGAATTGGAGGCAAGGGTTCAATTGCCCAAAAAGTCTTTCACTTCCTTTAAAATGCATCAATTTATGTTTTTAGTACTTTTCTTCTTTCTTGGGTCAAGAAAATAATGGCCACAGAAAATTTGACTTATGAAGTTTTGAGGGGAAAAGCCTTCGACTTAGGGAGGTTTTTAATGTATTGTTTCTAAGGGGATTCAGGTGGGGACCTGAAAAAAATTGACTTAGGAGGGTATTTGACTTGGAGAGGTTCGAGTTATCAAGGTTCACCTGTATTTCTTTTTGGCATGTTAGTGTTCCCTTACTGTCTTGTGACTTCCTGGTGGACCTCTTGAGGAATTACCATTTGTCAAGGGCACTTATTAATTTATTATACAGGTGGACATTCTCTACAACAAAGTGCAATATGGACCAGAAAAAAATCGTTATACAGAGAATTACTTTGTAGAGAAACCCCTATAGCATGAGGAGAGAATGCTTTGGGATCTAAGTAAAAAAAAATTATGTGTTGAGAAAATCATTGCAGACCTAGTTGTTGTATAGAATCAGGTGGACTTAACATAGGTCCCAAAGTACATGTCATATATAAATAGTTAACAGTTTAAAACTAAACTACACTATGGTTTAAAACTAATTTAACAAAGGGGTTAAGTTTGTTCAAAAGTAAAGCTATTCATTTTAGAAATTATTTTATTTAATATTAGATTTAATATATTGGGGCTATGTAAAAAAATCTACAAAAATGGAACAAACGCCAATTTTTAAGGACTATTTTCAATTTTCAAAGATTTTGTTTGTTCTACGATTTTTTTGTGTAGTAAGAGGTACCACTGTGCCGTACTTGACTTTGTTAGGTTCAAGTTATTTAGCTTCAACAACTTTTCTTCGTTTTCTTTTGAAGAAGTCTCTCAATAAATCCTTACATGAGCCACATCGGTGGTGTAATTTTTTTTTTAAACTCCGCTTATTATAACGCTCATTTTATTTTTTATTCATTTCCGAGTTTCTTCCTTCGAAACCATTGATGGTGATTGGAAAAAGGCCCTGAACAAATATTTGCTCACTCCTGCTCCCGAGTTTCCAAATCTAGTGACATAAGGAAGGTAGTAAATATAAAGACACATAAAAGAAGGTATACGAGGGGTAGTAGTAGTAGTAGTAGTCGTCGTCCTCCGCCGCCCAGCCGCTCATAGGCGCTGCGGATGCTCCGCAGTTTGGACCAGGAGCTGGAGAAGGTGGCGGAAGACACGGCCATCACTGAGTCCATGGGCAAGATCACGATTGAAGTGAAGACCGACGGGGATTCCATCAGGTCGGGACCGTTGTCGTCGGAAAATAATTACAGCGGCGGCGGCAGTAGTGGCGGCGTTGGCGGACACGTGACTGTGGTGCCTGTTGGGCCCTGCTCCTTGTCATCGCTGCCGTGCTCGGAACCCGTGCTGAGCAACGTCACGATGACCCATACGAATAAATCGGCTATTGTTGATGGTGAGGGAATAAATAAACAATTACCGTGATATGCGCTAATATACTTTTTTGTGTGAAAACGATGAAAAATAATTATTCGTGTGATTTGTGGTGGGATGTGCAATTTATTTTTTGGCGCTTTTTTTCGTGGGTCTTGGAAAGTGTTGAAAAATGTCTGATGAAGTACGTTTCTGGTGTTGAAGAAAGTGTGACGAACTTTGAAGGACTTTTTAGGAGTCATTTGTCAATCATTCATTTATGCCGCGCGACTTCGAAGTCACTTTGGGATCTCAATAATGGAATTATTGTAGGATTGTCATACTTGAGCGCGACTTTTTTGTTTTTTATTTCCAGAGTAGGTATTACTTGGGGGACAAAATATGATATAGCCCATGATGTAAGGTTCAGTGATTTTTTTTGTAAGATTAAAAAAAAGGTTTTTCAATTCCCTGCATGATGATGAGTGACAACTTTCCAGTTACAGCCAGAAATCTCAACCCATGTAACAGGGTGCTAAAAATTTGTCAGGCCACCAGCAGCTAAAAAAAAATTGAAATTTGTGTTTTTTCAAGCATTATCTTTTCCAAACTTGAGATAATGGTTAAAACAGCAAAGAAATTTCGATTTTTTTTAGCTGGCTGGAAAAATTTTTTAAAACTTGGATTAGGTTAGTTTCTATGCCTATGTATTAATTTTTCATTCACGTGATGATGGCTGATAAAAATCAGGTTGTGGCTGTGAATATTCAATCGTCAGTTCGTAGAATGCCTATAAATTAAGCTGGTGAATTCGTCATTGCCGTGATGAATCACGTATCCGGTAGCAGAAATGAAAAAACATAGTTTTTGAATTAATTGATTTTCATATTGCCCGTATAGGTTCTGGTTCGTCGGAACCGGACGTGAACGAGTTGGTGGAACAAGCTGCGCAGTTGATGTTGGAAGAGTGTCAATTGGTCGACACGTTTCTGGAGCTTCGTGCTTCCGTCGCCAGAGCGCGGGAGGCCATTGGCAACACTCTGTTGATACGGAACCCGGGGAGGATCGGACATGCTTTGCCTCAGGGTTCGATTACTGGGCCTGGGGCATCGTTAAAGGGTAGTCAGCAGCAGCAGCAACAACAGGCCACAGTTATCTCGGGTGACGAACTCAGCGCCTGGTTGTCCACCATGGAGCAGCTGCAGAAGGAGAACGAAGAGCTGGAGGTGAAGATTTTTTGTTGTTTTTGGAATTTTGAATGACGACGATCCATGTGTTATATGTTTTTGTATTTATTTTTTTGCTATAATTTATTTCAGAATTTGTTTGTGAGAGTTTATTTATGCGTGATTTTTCCTTCGCTTTTGGTTTGTGTTTGTTTTGCCGTTGAACAGATTTTTGGTATTCGGTTTTTTTTTCAGGTATACCTAAAGCGTATGTTACTTTTGATCAGGAGTATGCGTATTCACCCTGTTGATATGATGTTTAAACCAGGAGGTTGTAGGAATGATGATTTTTTTCTATTGATCCGACTTACCTTGAGGGAAATTTCTTGTGGATGATGTTACTTTAAGTTGGCTCAGTTTAGTTTACCTTGAATGAGATTCCAGTACTTAACTTTAAATCTCATACCTGCTTAGTTTACTATACTTGAACTTGAGATTAGTTCAACTTGAATGATGTTAGTTTAACTTGGATGAGGTTAGGTTAACTTCAAAAAGGTTTGTTTAATTTAAGTGGGGTTTGGTTAACTTGGATTAGGATAAGTTGACTTGAACTTGGTTTGGTCAACTTAAATTATGTTTGGTTACTTTGACTTGGATTATACAGTATTTGTATAAATTGGTTAGGTTCAGTTGAGTTTGGTTTGGTCAAGTTGAATTATGTTTTGTTTACTTAAATTGGGTTTGTTTGATTAACCAGTTTGGAGTTTTTTACTTGAACCATAGGTTTGGGAAACTTAAATTGGGATTTTGGAACTTACGTTGGGTTTTTAAAACATGAATTAGGTTTGGGAAACTTGAATTACGGTTAAGAAACTTAAATTAGGTTTGGTAAACTTGGTTGACCTTAGATTAACTTGGTTGAGGTTAGATTAAATTGGTTGATGTTAGATTAACTTGAATGATGTATTTTTCATTTAGATGTGATTAGTTTAACTTGATTGTGGTTATTTCAACTTGGATTAAGTTAGTTTTGCTTTGATAAGGTTAGTTGAACTTGTATTAGGTTAGTTATACTTGTTTTTAGGTTAGTTTCACGTGAGCTAAGTTAGTTTAACTTGGTTTAGGCTGATTTAACTCGGATTAAGTTACTTTANATCACTGTATTCCTTCCATCATTTATATTTCTGTGTATTTTCTTCCATATGCTCCCCATCATCATCATCATCATCAGCAGCAGGAGGCGGCGGGTCGGCGAGTATCCGCGACGCCTACGAGGCGTCAGTGGACCAGGAGCTGGAGAAGGTGGCGGAAGACACGGCCATCACCGAGTCCATGGGCAAGATCACGATTGAAGTGAAGACTGACGGGGATTCCATCAGGTCGGGACCGTTGTCGTCGGAAAATAATTACAGCGGCGGCGGCGTTAGTGGCGGCGGCGGTGGCGGCGGCGGCGGACACGTGACTGTGGTGCCTGTTGGGCCCTGCTCCTCGTCATCGCTGCCGTGCTCGGAACCCGTGCTGAGCAACGTCACGATGACTCATACGAATAAATCGGCTATTGTTGATGGTGAGGGAATAAATAAACAATTACCGTGATATGCGCTAATATACTTTTTTTTGTGAAAACGATGAAAAATAATTATTCGTGTGATTTGTGGTGGGATGTGCAATTTATTTTTTAGGCGCTTTTTTCGTGGTTCTTGGAAAGTGTTGAAAAATGTCTGATGAAGTACGTTTCTGGTGTTGAAGAAAGTGTGACGAACTTTGAAGGACTTTTTAGGAGTCATTTGTCAATCATTCATTTATGCCGCGCGACTTCGAAGTCACTTTGGGATCTCAATAATGGAATTATTGTAGGATTGTCATACTTGAGCGCGACTTTTTTGTTTTTTATTTCCAGAGTAGGTATTACTTGGGGGAAAAAATATGATATAGCCCATGATGTAAGGTTCAGTGATTTTTTTTGTAAGATTAAAAAAAGGTTTTTCAATTCCCTGCATGATGATGAGTGACAACTTTCCAGTTACAGCCAGAAATTTCAATCCATGTAACAGGGTGCTAAAAATTTGTCAGGCCACCAGCAGCTAAACAAAATTGAAATTTGTGTTTTTTCAAGCATTATCTTTTCCAAACCTGAGATAATGGTTAAAACAGCAAAGAAATTTCGATTTTTTTTAGCTGGCTGGAAAATTTTTTTTTAAACTTGGATTAGGTTAGTTTCTATGCCTATGTATTAATTTTTCATTCACGTGATGATGGCTGATAAAAATCAGGTTGTGGCTGTGAATATTCAATCGTCAGTTCGTAGAATGCCTATAAATTGAGCTGGTGAATTCGTCATTGCCGTGATGAATCACGTATCCGGTAGCAGAAATGAAAAAAACATAGTTTTTGAATTAATTGATTTTCATATTGCCCGTATAGGTTCTGGTTCGTCGGAACCGGACGTGAACGAGTTGGTGGAACAAGCTGCGCAGTTGATGTTGGAAGAGTGTCAATTGGTCAACAACAGGCCACAGTTATCTCGGGTGACGAACTCAGCGCCTGGTTGTCCACCATGGAGCAGCTGCAGAAGGAGAACGAAGAGCTGGAGGTGAAGATTTTTTGTTGTTTTTGGAATTTTGAATGACGATCCATGTGTTATGTTTTTGTATGTTATTTTTTTTTGTTGCTAGTAATTTATTTCAGGATTTGTTTGTGAGAGTTTATTTTTGCGTGATTTTCCCTTCGCTTTTGGTTTGTGTTTGTTTTGCCATTCAACGGATTTGTAGTATTTGGCTTTTGTTTTTTGGTTTACCTAAAGCTTATGTTACTTTTGATCAGGACTATGCGTATTCACCCTGTTGATATGATGTTTAACCCAGGAGGTTGTAGGAATGATGATTTTTTTCTATTGATACGACTTACCTTGAGGGACATTTATTGTGGATGATGTTACTTTAAGTTGGCTCAGTTTAGTTTACCTTGAATGACATTACAGTACAGTAATTTAATTTAAATCTCATACTTGCTTAGTTTACCAAACTTGAACTTGAGATTAGTTCAACTTGAATGAGGTTAGTTTAACTTGGATGAGGTTAGGTTAACTTCAAAAAGGTTTGTTTAATTTAAGTGGGGTTTGGTTAATTTGAATTCGTTATTCAACTGAACTTGAACCAAACCAGTTGAATTTAATACAAACCAATGAAACTGAACCTAATATGTCATAAACATATTTAACCAATCCAAGTCAACTCAAACCAAACCAGTTCAACTTAATACAAATGTTTACTTAAATTGGGTTTGTTTGATTAACCAGTTTGGAGTTTTTTACTTGAACCATAGGTTTGGGAAACTTAAATTGGGATTTTGGAACTTACGTTGGGTTTTTAAAACATGAATTAGGTTTGGGAAACTTGAATTACGGTTAAGAAACTTAAATTAGGTTTGGTAAACTTGGTTGACCTTAGATTAACTTGGTTGAGGTTAGATTAAATTGGTTGATGTTAGATTAACTTGAATGATGTATTTTTCATTTAGATGTGATTAGTTTAACTTGATTGTGGTTATTTCAACTTGGATTAAGTTAGTTTTGCTTTGATAAGGTTAGTTGAACTTGTATTAGGTTAGTTATACTTGTTTTTAGGTTAGTTTCACGTGAGCTAAGTTAGTTTAACTTGGTTTAGGCTGATTTAACTCGGATTAAGTTACTTTAACTTGGATTAAACTGTGATTAAGTTAGTATAACTTGGATTCAGTTAGTTTAACTTGGTTAGGGCTAGTTCAACTTGGGTAAGGTTTGTTTAACTTGGATAAGGTTTGTTTAACTTGGATAAAGTTTGTTTAACTTGGATAAGGTTTGTTTAACTTGGATAAAGTTTGTTTAACTTGGATAAGGTTTGTTCAACTTTAATTAGGTTAGGCTATCTTAGATTAGGTAGTAGGTTGGTTCAAATTAAATTGCATTAATTTATATTGACGGATTTGATTTTGCCCCTCTATGTTACATTCATACGAAAATGCGGTTGCTGTGAGCTTGGCAGCTTTGGCTCAGGTTGGAGGATTGGTCAGGTTGTTGAATCATCTGTGGGCTTTCTCCCTTTTTATACTACAGTAATTTAAACTTCTTTGTGCTATGATTGAGAATACTGTGCAGTACTGTATTGATGCATTACTTTGAATGAGGTGATTTTAAGCAGTATTTTTTGTGATATTATCCTTGACTCATTCATTTATTTACAGAAGCGAAGAAACTTCTTGCTTGCTCGTGTGCTGGAAGAACACGAAGCGTGCGCTCGTTTGAAAGCCAGTCAAGATCTTCAGGAAATCAAAGACGAGACGAGGAGATTGAGTATCGAAAGAGCAGATTTGCAACAACCCATTCCTTCTTGACCTGGCTGAAAATTTGCCCGTATTTTCCGAGGGATCTGTCATTTCAATCGAAAGAAATACGTCAGCTGCTTTTTATGGGTGACTATAGGCAGCTTTCCGCGGATGCTGATTTTTAGCATGTAAAGCGGGGCTTGGAGTAATTCCAATGTGCTTGTTTTTTTTTCCTCACGCAGTAGATGTTTTCAATGTATGTTACTTTGTCTTTTTACTTGACTGATTTTTAAAGGACTACCATTTAGCAGTTCTTTTTTTTTTTTTTGCCAAATTCAGACTTGGGTGCAAGAAATCTCGCGGGTTATTATATTTTTTTGTCAACTTGGACATTCTGCTTTTGATATGTTTGAATGCGTTGACTTGAAAATTAATGAATTATAGTGGGGTCTTGGTTTAAAATTTGAATCGATTCCTGAGCAAAGTTTGTTAACCAAAGCACATTTTCTGTTGAAGTACTGTGCAGAAATATTCTTCTATTGGCTTCCAAAAAATGGAAACTGCGCATGAAAATCAAGAAAATGTGTCTTTGAAAATGCTTAATGGGCCTAGAATTCAAGAACTTTGCTTGATAAAGTTTAAGAGAAACTCACTGAAGGACCACGGCCCTTTGAAAATTTTCAATTTCAAAAGAGTTGAGAGTTGTCTCACTATTGGGCCATTTGGAAAATGCTGATAGTTTTGAAAATGTAGGAAGGAAATGTAAAAAAAAAAAAAAACTTACTGGACTGCATGAAATGTTTTTGAACAATCAGAAGTTTGAAATTGAAAGATTCTTCTTGACTGTTCAATGCAGAATTTCAGATTAAAACACTGTTATCAATGCATCAACAAGATAAATGTTGTTTCTGTTGGTAATCACAGGCCTTTTCTAAAATAAAATTGTTTACCCATTCAAACACCAACTAAACAAAGCTTTAAATCAAGTCAGCTAGGGTTTATTATTCAAGGTGGCTGAGGCCTAAACCTAAAGTTCGTTGACCGAGCGAGCAGTTTCTAAGCCAGGGTGTTTGCTGACCAAGACCCCATTGTATCTGTTTTGCTTGTCAAGGTGAATTTCATGACCAATTTTTCTCTCATTCTGCATGAAGTTGACAGAACAAGTGTGTCGTATACTGTATATCAGTGGTGATATACGCTGATGGAGAGTTAACTTTGTCCACTGAGAAATGTGATGAAAAAGTGCAGTTGATGAGAAAATTGTATTATGTTCTCTATATTGAGCCGGTAAACTTGATGTTTCGACTCAGCCATGGAAGCTGCTGGAATGGGTTCTTATCCGATGTGACTGGGATCTGTTAAGTGCGCTATTTTAGTAGGGAGTTACCTTTTGGGGGAAATTGGGACAATTAAGTCACACTCATGGTTTTCTGATCTTTTTTTTTTTCGCTCATGTAGTGAGAGACTCGAGGCAGGTGACGTTTTTATCGCGATTTTGGATGAATAATCCGTGGCTGCATTTATTTTTCCTGGACAAAGTGTCAAGGCGGCTATAGCTTGAGAGTGAAAAAAGTACAGTATTGTATTTGATGCTGAATAAAAAATTGGATTTGATTGATTGAATTCTATATGACTTGAAGAATGCGAGTGAACTGATCAGTCCTTCCGTGATTGGTTGATGGGCTTTGGAAGAGACGCTTCCAAACTTATCTGGGTCATGATAAGATAGTGTTTCAAGTATTCAATAACCAATTTCATTAAATGGATTGAATCACAGTCCCATACAAAAAACTGTACAGCAGGAAATCATAAAAAATAAAGTCCCTGAATTATACTTGTAATATGCTGTACAATGTAAACCTCTGCTTGCCTGATGGTTTTTTTCTCAAGCCTTGGATTTTTTTTATCTTAAGTCTAATTGAAATTACAGTATTTCATATACAGTACATTCAACCCTCAGTAACTCAAACCTCCCATAGTTGAATACCTTCCTGTGTGCAATTTTTCTAAGTTGCTGTCCAAATTCCCTTAGGAATAATGCATCAAACGCCTGTCCAACTTGAATCCCTTACCCTCAAACCTTCATAAGTCAAATTTTCTGGAGGCTTTTTTGGCTATTATCTTATTGACACAGAAACAACAAGAGCAAAAAAAGTAACTTGATGTGTTTTGAAAGGAAGTGAAAGATCCATTGGGCAAATGTTCAGCATACTTTCATATAAAAAACAGTTCATTTGATAGTCTATAGTTTTTCCAGCCATTTTGATAATGTGATTATGAATTTTGAGAAACACAAGAGACCAAACCCACAATCCAGCTAGAACAACTTAATGGACTTTCAACCAGGGAGAAAAATATCAAGTAAAAATAAAGTTGGACATTCTGTATAAAGTTAAAAAATGTTATTTCACTCCTCTGTTTGCAAATAAATATTGCAGTTAGTGATAAATAAATGATCGTTTCCCAGCACAGTAAAAATATCAGCTGTGCACAACAAAACTTCGATTCCATATATGATCTACAAAAAATTGTTGAAAATAGCATCGTAATCATATTGGCTCCTGTGGCAAGACATTCATGTCTTCTCGTATTTTCCTCATCAGGTTCTCAGCCTGTTGACAAAACAAAACAAAATATAACAGCAAGAAGAGCAGTGAAAAGAGAAAAATCCCGCACTTACAGCAACAAGATGCTCCTTAGCTTTCCGGAAATCGTCCAAAACATCAGTTCTCATTTTGAAGGCGACATCTAACGGGTCCTTCTGAAATGAAGTCCTCTCTGCACACGATTCATCCCCAACTTTCAAACGTTTATGGCGTGTTCTAAGGTAATGTTAGTTCGAGAAAAGAAGGTTTAAACGCTCAGCTTATGAACAACTGGTTACGACCCAGTTGTTACTACGTTCTTCGTCGTTTACCTCGTGGGTTTAATTTACATACAGAGGCAAACGTCGGGGAATATTCGTGACGAGTTCAGCAACAGGATTCAAGTATTTTCCGAGCTTTCTGGTGAAATCCTTTGGTGCTTCATCCGATTGTTTCGTTCCTTCGTTGGCATATTCAGCTTTCATACTCATCACCAACTTCCTTTCATACGGAGTTGCACCCAGTACCTTTCCTGAAAAAATAAAGAGGAAAATACAGTGTTACCTTGGATAATGGTGCTGTCATTGGGGATAGGATGCACTGAGGAAAAGCACAGTATAAAAGGTTTTTTCCTCCTCCCTAGTTGAACTTATTATTGCAAGCAGTCTTTACAAATTTCAAAGTCTCAAGAACAAATTTAATATTCACTGTAGGATAATGATGAATGAAAACTTCCCAGTTACAGCCAGATTTCTCAACCCATGTCACAGATGTCAAGGGCTATGTCATGATTTAAAAAAACATTTCTACTCTAAAAAATCAGAGGTTGCATCCAACTGGGACAACCTTTGTATGTGAGTATACAAGGATTCAATTCATTCCAGGATAATGAAGAATCAACCTCATCCAATACTCCAGACCAGTGCTCTTCATCTTTTCTGGGAACACCAACTGACACAGTTCCATAAAATTTCTTGCAGACTGGCAAATTTCCAAAGAAATTTCTGCAGACTGGCAGAGTTTCATAAAATGTTTGCAGACTTGGAAAAGTTTTGTTTGAAAGACTTCATGGAAGGTATTTAAAACGTTTCTGCTTTCTTGCAAAAATTATGCCAAGAGCCAATAAAGTAGCTACAGTGAAATGTCTTCAAAATTTAAAAAGGTGAGATTGACAAAAGATTTCTCAGAATGAAAAAAAAAATATGTACATCATCAGCTGATGAAATATTTGTCTGAAGTGTTATTAGGAGAAAAGACAACTTCTATTTTTCATCAGATAATTTCATTTACCAAGTCCTTTCCAAAATTTTAAATAAACATAACAGACTTCCTTGTTATACTTTTGATACATTTTTTATGCCAAAGAAATTCTCCTGCGGACCAGCGAAAAAAAACTTCTGCAGACAAGTGCTGGTCTCTGGATCACAGGTTGAGGAAAACACGAAAACACTGCTCAAAGACCAAGTAAAAGCAGAAAATCCACCATTCCTGTCTGCGCACTACCGTTTCCCGTGCCAATAATCTCAACCACAAAAAACGACGCAAAATATAAAAACGAAATCCACCAACTTGTTGCTCTGCTGAATTTCGCATTAGGAGTCGAGCATGCCGATCCATTGCGAGAACGAGCTCGTCGTGGCGGAGGAGTAGGTGGCACACCAGGAAGAAGCAAATGTGATGGACTACTGTTGAAATGTTTTCTTTTTGGTTGAAGGGTTTTTTCTTGTGTAATCATGTTTTGAAGAATCGTTTTGTACAGTGGGCCCCCGCTGTACAACCGGCTCTTACTACAGCCATTTCGCTGTACAGCCACTGGTGATTGCAAAAAAAACCCCCCCACAACAACTGCCAACTCGCTGTGCAGCCGTTTGTACTAGCCAACACACCCCCGAAATTTCTTAGGATTTAAATATGCACAGCCTCAGACAAGGCATTTTTCATGCCTGGTTTTGTAAATGGAAATAGGATTTAAAAAATGCAGCACAGATTTGTTTCACTTCCAGGGAAACTCACCCTCTAATCCCTGAGGAATTCCATGGGAACCCAGTTGACCTGAGGTTCCCATGGGATTTTCCATCCTTAAAACAAATCAGCCTTCAAGGACCATTCTCTGATTTAACTGGAATGTCCTCAAGGAGACTTTCTTCCATCCCTCCCCCAAAAATCTTCTTAGTTAGTCTTGACCACATTTTTAAGACAGTTCATTCCTGGCAGTATTGTGTACTGTTCTGTATATTTATGTGGTTAGAGTATGTTTTGGGGTGTGTATCATTATTGTTCTGTACATGTGTGTGAATTTATTTAACTGTATGTACTGTACAGTGATACTGTACTGATGTGTTCTCAACTGATATATTCCAGGCACTTTATTAAATAGATTTGTTTCTGTTGAGATGGCACCTAAGAAAGCAGCCAGAAAAGTGTTTCCAATCAAAGTGAAGCAAGAAATCATTAAAAAAAAAGAAGCTGGACAAAAAGTTAATGACATTGCAAGAGAGTATGGTGTGCACCACTCTAGCATCAGCACCATCCTTGCCCAGAAAGAGAAAATCATGATGTCTAGTGTTGCAAAAGGAATGACAAAGGTTGGTTCCAGAAGTACAACCATGGAAGAAATGGAGAAGCTCTTGTCCATCTGGCTTACTGACAGGCAGGCAAAAGGAGATATCACCTCTACAGGCATCATCATGGAGAAGGCCAGAACTATATTTGCAGACCTCAAAGAAAAAGAGAAGGCCCAAGAATCATGCACAGAACTACCAGCAAAGGAAATGGAAGTTTTCAAGGCCAGTAAGGGCTGGTTTGACAGGTTCAAGAAAAGGATTGGGATCCACAGTGTTATTATGCATGGTGAAGCAGGCAGTGCTGACAAAGTGGCAGCTGAGAAGTTTGCAAAACAATTTCAGGAGTTTGTTCAAGAAGAAGGTTATCAAGCCCAGCAGGTGATTAGTTGGCTGGAATATTTATGAAGAGTTTATTGAACAACTTTTTTCTATGCTGTCCAACAGGTTTTCAATGCAGATGAGACTGGGCTCTTTTGGAAGAAAATGCCCAGAAGAACTTTCATCAGCAAAGAAGAGAAGGCTGTCCCTGGTCACAAGCCAATGAAGGATAGGCTGACTCTACTCCTTGCTGCAAATGCTAGTGGAGACTGCAAACTGAAGCCACTGCTCATCTACCACTCTGAAAATCCCAGGTGCTTCAAAAAAAACAATGTCATCAAGTCCAGGCTACCAGTTGTCTGGAAATCCAACAGAAAGGCATGGATGACCAAACAGCTGTTCATGGAGTGGGTGACTGAAAACTTTGCCCCTGCTGTGGAGGCCTATCTGAAATCTGCCAACCTGCCTCTGAAATGCTTGCTTGTTTTGGATAATGCCCCTGGCCACCCTCAGGACCTGGGACAAGAATTGGAGGAAGAGTTTGACTGGATAAAGATTCTTTACATGCCACCAAACACAACCTCCTGCCTCCAACCCATGGACCAGCTGGTGATTGCTAATTTCAAGAAACTTTACACAAAGAACCTCTTTCAGAAGGTCTTCCATGTCACTGAGTTTTCACC